TCATGGAGTTAATTTCTCCACTTGGTGGGGGTTTCAGTATCTGTAAGACAGCTCGCAGGATGTGGCCCAGAATATTATCCAGCTCTTGAGGAGGAATTACAGGTGTTTGAGTTTGCTTAATGGGTAAGCTATTGCTATTTGGTCTCCTTTGACTGTTTTCCTCTGTTTCTGCATTTCCGCCAGAAGCAGAATTTTAATAAAGCATTCAGACAGTAATTTGAAATAAAGGACTTATTTGGCAAAAACAGAACCATGTTCAGCAACACGGAACTGAACATTATTTTTCATACAAAGTTAAAAGCACATTGTATTTCCTTCCTGACCACTTGCCCGGTCCCCATCTCTTCAAGAGAGATAAACTGCATCTAAATTATTTCATCTGATTGATGATTATCATTTATAACTTTATTGCCGCTTCTGTCTCAGGTATTCCTTTGGAAAAGGCATATGGATTCTTCACCTATTCTAAGGTATTGTCTATAGACTGTAAGATAAAATGAAGCATGTATCTGCTGACACTTTTTAAGTTGATCGGCCTTTATGCCTGGAAATGTCTCTTGATAGCAGGCTTCCCTGGCGGCTCAGATGGTAAAGAATCTGCCTGCAATGCAGGAGGCCACGCTGTGTGCCTGGGTAGGGAGGAATCCCTAGAAAAGGGAAGGGTTACCCACTGCATTTTCTTGCCTGGAGGATCCCAGGGACGGAGGAGCCTGGTGGGCTACGGCCCACGAGGTCTGTGGGCCACGGCTGAGTGACTCACTCACATTATAGTTGTTCTTTGGCTAAAGTTTTCCCGCAGACAAAAGGCAGGCAGAGGACATGGGGGTGGGAAGGACCATAGGGTGCTGCTCCATATCATCTTGAAGGTCTTGGACTTGTCTTGGATGGGGGTGGGGCAAAGTTGGGACATTTATGAGATTTCTGGTGCCTGGGTTAAGGCTGGTCTTTCAAAGCAGATGGGGGTGGGATTGGGATGGCTTAAAGTCCGTGATAAAATATCTCAGGGGAAGCAGACTCACCGAGTCTTGAGGACATATAGTCATCCACTACTATCCACTGCAAATTTGGTACATGAATGTTCATTTTAATTAATACTGGGGAAATTTCTGAGATTAGCAGTAAAGTTATTTGCAAGCTTACTCCTATCTGGAGAAGAAGTCAGGCTGATGGAGACCGTGGGGCGGTAAACTGATGTAATGTTCACAGTCAGTCCTGTGGGTATGCATTCCCACATGCAGTTTGGGTTCCCAACACTCAGTTCACCACAAATTTCCAAATGAACCAGATTCAAGCAGAACGTGCTTTTGAGGAGCCCCCACAAGACGGAAAACCCAGAAGGCACTCCTTGACACAGAGTCAGAGCAGGTGAAGGCAGGAGGCAGTCCCCTGGGTCATTGGCAGCAAGGTCAGATGTCAGGGGAGAATATTCTCTCTGCATGATTTCCAAAACCCACAGGCGGACGGCTTTCAAGGGGGTGTGAAAACGACAGGAAGAGCAGTCAAGGGCAGGAGAAGGGGAGGAACATCTTACGTGACAGCCGCTTGTGTTAGAAGGGAAGAGCACAGAGCCGGATGCCCTTCTGGGTGCCTTTCTGCTCCGAGGAGTGAGCAGGTCAGCCCAACACCGGGGTGAATTCCAGATGAAGGCAAAGTGGGAGGCTTTTTAGCAAAATTCAAATAAAACTCAAAGAGTTTTGTTAACCAGGTAGACCTGCTCCCAATGAGAACTCACCTGTGTGGCAGAGGAGTAGAGAGAAATTACCAAGTTCTGAATCTGTGAACATGGGGTATCTCCATATTATAGCATCTGCCACATCCTAAGCATCCACTTGTTGGTCAGGTCTTACGCATGCACCTACATCATGGACCAAAGGGAAGTCTCATTGCCCCGCCTTAGAGAAGCATGAAGAAAGGTCTTCTCTCAGAGCTCAAGCGTCCAGCCAAGGCGTCTCAGTGAGTGGCCACGTGCTAAGGCTGCGAGTCTTTGCATGACCCCACGCTGGCCCCTGGCATTCCTAAGAAGCTGCTGTGGTGGTTGCTGCTGACTTTGCAGGGTTTGCACAATGCGTACATCTGATGTGTGCTGAGGTATCTGTGCAACTCGGCATTAAGCATCCATGATGCTATCTGTGCCTTTATGTCTGTCCTGCAGAGGAGAGAAGAAATCCACCTGAGGAAGTCCTCCTTGGAAGTCCAGCAAGTTAGACAAAACCCTTCTCCTCCCTGACTCTCGACAACACAATATCCTTGGGGCCCAGACCGGCTTTTGGTAACTTAAGCACCCCACCACCCACCTCTTGTTCCGTCTTCCTTCACTTGGCCCTACCAGCCTTCCCTCCGGCCATGTGCTATTACTCATCTCTGCTCAGAAAGCCGATACTTTCATACCCAGTGACTTGGCCGAAGTTGTTTTCTCCCCTGGAGATGTGCTGGCCCAAATGGTTCTGTTCTTGGTTAAATCCTTTCTTAACATCCAGCCCTGAATTCTAAGCTCATCTCCTCTTCCTGAATATCTAGTAAAAATCCCTGCCCCACCCCGCAACTCTGCACCTCCCTGTTCTGTTGGTGAGGTGCTGGGGACAGAGCATCCCAGCGCCCCCAGCCACCCCCACACCCCAGAGCCAGGCCCAGCCTGGAGCAGATGGGCTCAGTCCATGCTTGATCGGCAGACCAAAGTGGGGCAAATGTGCTGTTTCCAACATGGACCCTCACTTTTCTGGGGAGATGTTTAGATGAGGAAATCATGCAATCTACTCCTGTAACAAATGGGAGTTTCATCAAACCTAGTGTGAAAAAGGAATTCCCCTCAAAAAGAATGAGAGAGACTTTTGGATAAGGGAGTTGAAAACATATATGCTGGCAACAATAAGGAATGTTTTTTTTTCCTTTTTCTTTGCCAAATTAGTACCACTTGGTTCAAAGACAATGGATCATATCTGTCAAGTTTGAAATTTGTTGGAACACCTTAACTTTTCTCAAATTTCGGACCTATGACTTAAATACACTTCATAAAGTAAATGACACCATTCTCTTCATGTTGCTACTTATCAATGAGAAACAAGCTACTTCACAAGTAACACAGGCGTTTCGCAGGATTCCTATTAAGTGAGTCAATATACGTACCTCCATTTGGGGGGAGAAAATCTAAAACACACATTGAAAAAAAAAATGTTTTAAGCACACTCGCAATGCATGCCCGGGTTGCTATTAGAACATAAAGAAAGCATTTAACACCACCTTCCAAGTTTGACGGCAGGCGTCAGAGTTCCCGATCCATTATCTGTAAGTGTCGAGGTCAGTGAAGTCATCCAGGACTAAAGCCCACCTCATGAATGGCTTGTGATGTGCTTTTTGGAAGGTGGTGATAACACGAACTCCAAGCGGGAGGACCCTCCAGTTAGAGGGCAGAGAGGCCCAGGATAAAACAACAGCAACACAGTGCACTGCGGGCTGGAGGGTACGGCCCAGCTGTACTCTGAGTCCCGTGGGAGTTACGGGACAGAGCAATTCCCCGAGCTAGATAAATTAGGGATTCCTCGTGGAAGAGATGGGCTTGGCCGGGAGATCAAAGGTGGCAGCATTTGGATGGATGAAGTTATGGGCGGGCAGCACTCCGGCCCATGAAGGAGTTGTGCGGCATGCAGGCACAAGGCGTGGCTGGGAGCCCCAGGGGGGATTAAAAGTACCAACTGGTAAAAAAGCTTCAAGGAGGTGTGGGAAATGTGTGGGGAGAGGGAGGCAGCAGGCTTGAACCCCTTTCTATGACACCTGGACTTTGTCTTGTAGCTGACCTTAGCCACAGAGTTCTTAGAGAAAGAGAATAATTTAAAAAAACCTGTTTTAAGAGAACAAATGCGTCAATGCTGTCAAAGACGAGTGGAGAGAGATGTCTGAGGCTGTGTGAGTCAGCAGCTATCTGGGTGTAAACGCGACGATGGAGCCTGCAGGTGCCAAGTGGAGGTGGTGAGGGGGAGCGGAACTACAGGGAGGGAATTGCCAGTTGGTGGGGGAACGAGGGATCTTTGAGGAAAACGAGAAAGATGGCTGAGAAACCAGCTGAGGATTTAGGAGTCCAGGTGCCCTTTGCACTTCTGCCTCCAAAGTCAACCCTCATGCTAACAAACCAGACACAAGAACCACTTGGTATTTCTTTTAAATATATTCATTTTTATTTATATATATGGTTGCAGCTTCCCAGGTGGCTGAGTGGTAAAGAATCTATTTGCCAATGCAGGAGACACAATTTCCATCCCTGAGTTGGGAGGATCCCCTGGAGGAGGAAATGGGGTCCCGCCCCAGTACTCTTGCCTGGGAAATCCCATGGACAGAGGAGCCTGGAGGGCTATACAGCCCATGGGGTTACAGAAAGCTGGACATGACTTAGCAACTGAGAACCTCGTATATGGTTGCACTGGGTCTTAGTGGAGGCACGCGGGGTGTTGTCATTGAGCACGCGGGCTCTATTTCCCTGCATGCATGATAAACGCGTGCATGCTCACTCAGCTGTGTCTGACTCTTTTCGACCCTGTGGACTGTACTCTACCAGGCTCTTCTGTCCTGGGGTTTCTCAGGCAAAAGTACTGGACTAAGTTGTTACTTTTTCCTCCAGGGGATCCTCCCAACCCAAGGACTGAACCCGCATCTCCTGCCTCGCAGGCAGATTTTTACCTGCTGAGTCACCGAGGAAGATCTATATCCCTGACCAAGGACTAAATCCCGGCCCCCTGCATTGGGAGTGTGGAGTCTTAGTCACTGGACCACCAGGAAGTGCCCAAGAATCACTAGGTATTTTAAACGAAAAGGGATTTAGTGCAACGGATCATGTGCTTCCAGGAGGGTCAAAAGGAGAAGGGGTCTGTACACCAACTGGGCCCGGGGAATAACTCAAAGTCCTCTCTGTCTTGCAGTTCTGCTACAAAGAGGACTGGGGGAATTGCGATGGAATCGTTGCCTTCAGGAACCTGTGGCCTTCGCTGTGTTCCAGCCACCAGAAGACTCACCCTGCAGGAGCAGGAAGTGGGCATCTCGACAGTGGAGCAGGGCTGCAGAAGCCAGCATCGTGGTCCCGAGTGTCAGCTGATGTGGCCACGGCGGCGGCAAGGCAAGCTCTCTGCCCTTCTGCCTGGCAGCAGTCCTAGGAAGACAGCTGCTTCTCAGGAGCCAGTTTCACCCAGACCATAACTGGAGAGGAGGCAGAGAAACGCCGTCCCAACCTCGGCCCCCTGGGAAGGCACAGCTGGGGTTCGGAATGGACGTTGACAGCGGCACCCTGAAACGTGCCATAGCAACCCATTCCAGCAGCCCCGGACCTGTGCCCACCACCCCACAATAAATCTTCTCAGCCACCAAATGGACAAGAAAGCTCCTGTCCAACATAATGGGTTTATTATTCATACAAATGAAAACTAACTCCATCTTCTCTGCACAAGAGGAGAGATTCACACTCTTGTCCATCAGCATGCCCGTCATTGGACCATGTCTTCAGCAGTCACAGTCTCCCCTTCTGCAACCGGAGACTGAGACACTGGCCATGGCCAACACAGTGTGTGTAAAATAAAAAGAGAAAGGTAAGCGATGGAAAAGGGACTTGGCTAAGCCACCTTTACAGAATAGGAAAGAAACACTGGCCATTACTATGGTGCTCACTCCCGCAAGTGGGCACAAAGCCATAGATATTATATAATTATTTACAAATGACTTCCTTTTCTCCACTCAAAAAATACTGCAGCTGTTTACCTGGTCAATCAAACCTTTACTCTTAGCAGACTTGAGCCCCTTGGGGTCTTGTTTCGGTTGGTGGATTGAATTTTCCATTAGCCTTTGCCACTGGCTCAGCAGTTCTAAGAGCTGTCCCTGAGGATAACTGGGTTTCAGCATTTCTTACCTGGGAATGAAAACCTTTAAACAAGGAAACCTGAAAGTTGGGGGAGCAGGAAGCAATTTTGTGCAATGGTCATTATGGGTAATAACAAAAGGACCCAGCCCTGCCTTCAAGGGTCTGGGGTACTTGTATTTTTGCCTTTGGGGAAATAGCACCAAATATCAGTCACTATTTCAAAGCAAACACTTCATTCTACAGGGTATCACCCACTCTCACATTACTCCCGATTCAGTAATGCCCCCTGATGGATGTCTTGTCTGGGTACTCAACAGACTATTCCAACATTTTGAACATCCAGCTGCATGTGGATGTCTGGGTAGGAAGGGAAGACCACATAACCCCACAGGGATGCTGAAGTCAAATCTCACCTCCGCACCCCAACACAGAAGTAAATCTTGGAGACAGAGATTTGAGAGAAATAGAAAATATAGCTTTACTACTTTACCAGGCAAAGGGGGTCACAGGGGACTAAAGCCCTGAAAACGATGTGTCCCCACCAGAGGGGTGAGTGTGGGATTTTATACTAATGCTCCAAAGAGGATATGATCCGCTTGTGAGCATCCTTCTGATTGGCTGATGGTGAGGTAAGGATGAGTCAGCATCATCCACCTTCAGGTTCCAGCTGGTCTGGGGTCTGTGTGCTTGTGGGCAGCGTACCACGGCTAAATGTTAACTTCTCCCCCCGAAGGGGTTTCCAGGTTATATAGAAGTTTTACAACAAGGGAGATAGTCTGAACATCAAAAGCTTATGGTTAATTAAAGGAAGCCAGACATCTCAGCTTAAGGAAGTCAGTGCTTTCCTCTGTAAGGGAAGATGCAAGAGTCTGGGCTCACTGAAACCAGTGCTTTGGTCTGCACCTCAGTTATCTGGGGCCAAAACCCATGCTTTCTCATCCTGAGCCTCCGCAGGCCACCCAGGGTTGGTGGATGGGGGTTGGTGGTGGATTCAGCGTGATGACAACTGGATGGCCGGCATTCCTCGTTCCCATCCCGAGTTCCCTCAGGGCTCCCCGTGGGGGTGGCAGCAACCACTGCTGGCTCTTACATCCTTTGTTTTCTGATACTGCGGGCAATACTTCATTTCTCACTCCCCAAGGAATGACACTGTGTCTGACACTCAGCCCTGTCAGCTCTTGGCCGGTGAAGCCTGTGGCAGACTGACAGATCAGCTTTGTGAAAGAAAGCCCAGGCTATTATTCGTCTTCATCCATGACACCACGGCCAACTTGCTGGTGGAAAACCAAGGTGGCGTGGGGAGAAGGTAACTGATCAGCACAGATAGGTCATCTCCGCGACTTGGTTACTGAAAACTTTTGGGGAGCACTTATAAGAAGTAGATTCTGGAGAAGTGTCTCTGCTCCAGACCCCTTGTCACCAGGCCTCCAATCTTATTCCTTCCAGGTCTCTGAGCAGCCAAACTCCCTCGCCTTCCCATGGATCAGTTAAGGTCTACACCTGCGGCCATAGCTCCTTCCAATAAAAATGAGACGTTACGTGAACTGCTTGATTTCCACCCCAGGGAGAAACTCCCTTGACCACACATCAACAGGAACAAACCTGAGAGGAGATGTCATTCTGCAAAGATCCATCCTGGGCTGTTCCTGGCAGACCATGCCTGACCTTCTGTTAATTAGGTTTAATGTTTTTGCAATTTTAATTGACTTTCAAGGCCTGCTAATGCTCAAGCTCTCCAATGTCATTTCCCTTTGACCCAGTGCTGTTCTGGAAGCCACACTTCATGACCGAATCAGTTAGATCATAAGGACATGCAGGATCCCACGGTCTTTTCCAGGATCCTGTCGCAATGAAGAGATATTTTAGAAAAAAACGTTGTGCTGAATCTCCTAGACTTTGGCCACCTGATGTAATGAGCAATGAAAAAGACCCTAATGCTGGGAAAGATTGAGGGCAGGAGGAAAGGGGGGTGACAGAGGATGAGATGGTTGGATGGCATTACCGACTCTGTGGACATGTGTTTGAGCAAACTCCGGGAGATAGTGAGGGACAGGGAAGCCTGGCGTGCTGCCATCCATGGGGTCACAAAGAGTCAGATACGACTTAGTGAGTGAACAACAATTTCCATAAAAGGCATTACGTTTTGTGCCAAAAGTCTAAGGGCCTCACCAGTTCCTCTAGGAAGGTCTGTAGTAGGTTTGACGACACATTTGGTCAGTCCTGCATCTGCGAGGAAGCCAGGTATCAGAGTATCTTGCCTTCTCCTGCTTTATATTCCTCTAAAGTTGGTGGTCTTTCAGGTTACTCAAATAAATGGGTCAAGGCTGCATTGAAGGGCCAAGAGGTCTGAAGCAGAGGAATGACGCCTAACATAAGGGAATCTATTCCCTACAAGTGCTCCCCAAAATACCCGCATGCAGAGTATTCTTCCTCAAAAAAAAAAAAAAAGAGTCTGACCAAGCCCTGAGCTGCTTTCTCCCTGGTGGAGTCTCAAACACCCACGAATCGTGCTCTACCCTCCCACGTAGGGCTGTGTGTGGACCTGCGTTCACTGCTGGTGGTGACCCCTGGAGCTTTTCATCAGGTCTATCTTGCCTGCTCTTACACGGGATAGGATATTTCTGGCCCCCCACGTTCAATGGGCACAATGCCATCAACAAATTGAATAAATATGGTACCCTAAGGGATGATGGCGGTGGTGGTGGTTTGGTTGCTAAGTCATGTCCAACTCATTGCGACCCCATGGACTGTAGCCTACCAGGCTCCTCTGTCCCTATAGGATGGTAAGACTCAAATTTCCTATGACTAATTGTCAGAGAATGAAAACGTTTACACAGATCAAAAGTGAGAGACTAGAACATCTGATACATTTTGCCCAAACCAAAGATATATTCCTTTTACTCTAGTTTATTTAGCATGTTGCCAAACTATTCCAGAACATACTAACCAGGCTTCTCATGTAATTAAATACGATCCTTCCTGATATGTAACTCTTCCCTTCCCTTTACCCCTGGCTCAGACTGTAAAGAATCTGCCTGCAATGCAGGAGACCCGGGGTTTGATCCCTGGGTCAGGAAGATCCCCTGGAAAAGGGAGTGGCAGCCCACTCCAGCATTCTCACCTGGGGAATTCCATGGACAAAGGAGCCTGGAGAGCTATAGTCCATGGGGTCACAAAGAGTCCAACATGATTGAGTGACTAACACTTCCTAGATATCCAAGAAGGATTGGTTCTAAGACCCCTCCCAGGATACAGGAGCATCTACGGATGTTCAAATCTCCTATGTAAAATGGTGTAGTGTTTGTCATATAAGCTACAGACATCTTCCAGCATACTTTAAATCATCTCTATATGTAATACTTAATACAATGTAAATAATTTTAAGTATAATGCAAATTCTATGCAATGAGCTCTAAACACAATGCAGATACTATGTACATAGCTCCCAGTGAGTGGCACAAGTTTTGCTTTTTGGTAATTTCTAAAATTCTTTTCCAAATATTTTCAATTCATGGTTGGTTGAATGCATGGATGTGAAACCCACGGATACAGAAGGCTGACTGTATAAACAAATGATAATTCTTTTGATCAGTATGTCTTCTCTTCTTGAGTCAGATTCTATTCTTTGCCTCTCAAGCATATGGGGATCTGATTCTAATTACAAGTCTAGGGGCGATGAGGAGGTAGGAACAGGCAAGGAGAGACCCAGCATTCCTTTCCAGGAAACCATGTCAGATGTTGATAGATTGACCTCATCAGACAAAGACAGAGAAAGTTCTCTTAGCAAGGAAATCTCTCAACCAATGTTCTCCAATTCCTTTATTTCAAAGGAGCCCTGGCAAGGCTTTAAATTCAGCTGACTCTGCAAGTCAGCAACGAGAGTGATCATTCTGGCCATGTCCACAACTATCAGGAAGAAGCTCTATCTGTCAGACTTAGGAGCTCCTGGTCCGACTGTGCCTACAGCAGAGAATGTAAAAACCCGGGCTTAACACTTTGTTTCTCTGAAATCTTCAGTTTAGCCACGAGCTGCCAGCCCACCCACCCACCTTATGCTCCTCATTTTGCCACTAGGTTGTAGCAGCCGCTTGGTCCACCCATGTCTTGCTTTCAACAGGCTCTTTACTCCTGGACACTTTGGGTGGGAATTTATGTAGCTTTTCCTACTGTCTGCCACACAGGTCCAGT